TGGAAGATCATTGCGGTTTGCCATGATTGCTGGGGAGCTTCGTCCTCATGTTCGAAATCGTGAAAAAGTTGGCTTCAAAACAACACTGCAATGAGAGTGTCAGCAAAAGCTCTTTGGTATCAGGCCTGTCTAGTTTCAGAAGATCCGCAGCTTCTTTGGTGTTCTTTCAAGGGTTTTTCGAAACCGAGGGGTTCAATCACAAGGCTTGCGATACTTACGACAAGGGCTGCTACTGTTTATGATAAAAATCCTGCATTACCTTAAGGACCCTAAACTATGGGAATTATGGTATATTCCTTAATATGGGCAATGTAGGATTTATATCATCAACCGCCGTAGGACCTGATAGGATGTAAGCACCAAAGACATGCTTGGAGGTTCATGGGACTTAGTAAGTGGGTAGTTTTCAAAATTAGGGTCCCTTTTAGGGTCCTTTTTATAAGGGTGCCGTACTGTGTTGGGGACCTAAAAAGGGACCCTAGTTTAGAGAACTACCAAAGTAGTACCCTAACTGGGTTAGAATGAATTAAAAGTAAATTTACTTTGCTTGTAAGTTTTTACAACCCTAGTTACCAAGTCCCACGAACCTCTTAGTGCTTCCAAGAAGAGGAACAGGAATCATGATATCAAGTGCAAGCCTCGCAGCTCTCAATGTTAACCACCGCTTATCACTCTCCAGCCTGGAAGTCTTACACCGTAAACCCTCAACCTTGAAACCTTAAACCGCTTCTCTCCCCTCTCCCCAAACAAAAAGGTCTGAAGCCCTTGTATCCTCACTGAAACCCTTTAGATGAACTCTTAACCCTTAACCCGAGACCCTTAACGGACCCAAAGAAACCGTATAAAGGGACCTAAACGCTAATCTTTCAAGATACCCCGTTCATGCTTAAGCCCGACGCCCTAAACCCTAAACCCTGTTCCTTCAGGGTTAAACCTAGAAGCCTAAATAATTACCCGTACTATTTTGGGGGGCTCCTCAGTAAAGTTAGAGTAGAGCATACCCCACAACCCTGTTGTAATTATTAAGGCACCCTATACTACAGACCCCCCTTATAGTATCCCTCTTAAGGAACCCTTTAAAGGAACCCTTTCCAGTATCCCTCTCAAGGAACCCTTCAAGGGAACCCTTCAAAGGAACCCTATGCTGATGATTAAGGCCCCCTATATTAAAGGAACCCAAAAGACAGGGGCCCCGATAGTATAGTATACCCCAAAACCCTATTCTAATTGCTAAGGCCCCTATAGTAGCCCTAAGCCCTAACCCTAAACCC